ATGGATATATAATGATGCAAAAAACATAATATTTAATGATTTCTACTAATGAATATTTTTCTACATACTATTATCAAATACCTACGTTTTTCCACGAAAAATGAACTCATTTTCATTTCCCTAACTGTAATATCTCCTAATGATGTTAAATGTTTGTTGAAATGTAACCGTTTCAGTAAATTTAACTTCTTTTTGAATTAGATATGTTTTAGAAATATAATCAAATACCAAAATAAAATACATATTATTTTATGCATCTACTACAGAAGTTTTTAATTTATGTGCTTTTAAAAATCAGACAAATTATTAATTTACAATTTTTTAGTAAAGCAGATTTCCGATTACTATTATATGTATATAGACATTTTATTCATTTTTTTTTTAATTTTGCTGTATTTGTTTACTGAAATAATGTTTCACAAAGAACCAAAAATCAGTATCACTAAATAGTATATGAATTTTTCTTAATTTGGAAAAATCAGTCTAATGTAAATGCCTTGTAGATAATCCATCTGAGATTTACTGCACATATTGAATAGAGGTAATTACCCCAGACGTATTTCAATGAGCCGTTTTTCGATTCTAAGGCTAGTTTTCTACGAGAGGACGTTACAATTGGTCAATATTCATTTTCTATTTCTTTAATTTTATTTATTAATTAATACATTTCAATATTTCTCACTAAATATAATAACTCCTTTTTTTAAAACATGTTAGAATATATAATAAGAATTTATTTCTCAATCAATCGAATCGACCAAGAATTTAGCTGTAATAACTAAATCAATACTAGTTAACTTTGACGCCCCCTGTCGGAAAAACTAGCCATTGAATCGAAAAGCGTCACACAACTACCCAGGGCACCCCCTCTATTCATTTATGCAATACATTTGGTTTAAAAGCACATATCGATTGTCAATTGTTTTTCAATTAAAAGTGTAGATAACAATTTGTAAAGCACTAAAACACTTTTACAAAATCTTTGTCTACTTTGTTCCACCAACTCTGTCTCTCTCAAAAAAAGAAAAACGATTTTAAAAGATATACAGACTAAACGTGCTATAATTTTTGAAAACACCTTAGAATAATCCGATTAGAATTATCTACATGCGAGCTTAATTAAACAAACGCAAAGAAAAATAAATAGTAACAGTTCCATTATTGCTACAGCTTCACCTTGAAATTTATCAAAGTTTTATTTGTAATTCCTGTTGTCGAAGGAAGCGACAAGAAGGACATCATGTTATTATATAATAATCAGATTTCTCTATCTCTTCTTGCGGTTATAATTACTTTATTGTTGTTGTTATTACTAGGTATGGTTTCAAAATAGAAGAGCTAAATGGCGTAAACAGGCCAGACTGCAGCTCCTTCAGGATGCATGGAGGATGCGGTGTTTAGGTCTACCCACTCCACCCCTTATCTTGACAGGTAAATTGTGCAACCCGAAAATGCATTCCTGGCACTCAAAAAAACTTCATAAACAATATTTTGAATAATAGATTTATGATAAGAACAGTCGATAGCTATACCAAGAAGAACTTGAAAATTGTCCTTTATTCTGACAAATTCGTTTCGGATTTTTCATTATTATAAAAGGACCATGTGTTAACACTTATTAAATATTATTATTAATATACTCCTTTGATAACGAGGTAAAACCCGAAAGAGTTCGTCAGAATAAACGACAATTATGTGAAACCTGATCAGCATTATTAAAGACAGGACAACCGTAGGGGTAGATATCCTGGGGTAAAAGATTAGTAGGTATGTTTCGATTTTAGATTATATAGAAATATTAGCATCCAGTAGGAAGGAGTCCTATAATAATGAAAGCGGTATTGACAAAACAGTATTATATGAAAATAAATAAAAGTAAAACAAAAATGCTGATATGTAAGGGAAGAAGAAGTAAGGAAAGATAGGGGACGAAAAATTATGCTGATTTTCAGATAAGTCAAAATAGAAGAATTAGTAGAGATACAAAGGAGAAAATAGCACAGGGTTGAGTTGCCTAAACAAAAAGAAGTAACTTCTATGTTCTAACGAAAATAGTTAAAAGCTTTCGGGATTGGTGTTACAGGCGAATGATGAGGATACCGTGGATAGAGAAGGTTAGAGATGAAGAGGTATTAGAAACAGTAGCAGAACAGAGAGCGCTATGAAAATCAATAAGAAATAGGTGAGATAGGTTGATAGGACACCTTTTCAGACATGAAGGTCTAATCAGTGACATATCAGAGGCAGAAACACGAGTTAGAATGAGTAGAGGTAGAACTAGATTAGATTACTGTTCGCAAATAGTTAAAGATTAAGAAATTTTGTATAATTTTTGTGTAGAGAAATTCTGAACATATATAATTTTATATTCGGCAAAAAAGGTTTAGGATGCAATTGACCTCTGTTAAGTTGTAAAGCCAAAGATTCATCCCGGGTTCGATTCCCGGCGAAGATGCAACAGCAACAACAGTTTTTCTTTATTAATTTGAAATAATTCGTATTGGATAATATTATATAGTCATATAGCTGAGGATTATGATGATGATGGTTTTTCACATTATTACAATTTAAATTCAAATTAATTTAAAAAAATATTCGGTGGAGGCGCCAGGAAGGGTTATTAGTATTTCGGTAATTTCCATAAAATAAAATCGATTGTAAATAATGAACACACATCTAAATAAATGTTTCAGTTTGTGTTGAGGTGACAACCCTTAAGAAATGCTCCCCAACTTTTTACTGTCAATTGCATCCTAAACCTTTTTTGCCGAATATAAAATTATATATGTTCAGAATTTCTCTACACAAAAATTATACAAAACTTCTTAATACATTATTGACAAAAACTAGGCAGGTTAACATTTTTATTTCAATAATAACCCGAAAAATTTGTAGTTTTATTCATTAATTTGAAATTCTGATTTCCAAAGGCAAAAAACGAAAAAGGTATATTTTACATACAATTTACCCTTTCTCGTTCTCAAGATCAGAGTAATTCAAATTGATTAATCTATTAATCTTTCGATATGTTCTGATATATCGATACCTAATGATCGAATTATCAGTACATTCGATCTATCACCTCTGTTAAGTTGTAAAGCCAAAGATTCATCCCGGGTTCGATTCCCGGCGAAGATGTAACAGCAACAACAGTTTTTCTGTATTAATTTGAGGTAATTTGTATTGGATAATATCATATAGTCATATAGCTGACGATTAGGAGGAGGTTATTTTTTTTTCTATGTGATATTATCAGACCAGGACTCGGAGAACAACTTAGTGACGTCCCAGATCAGTGGCGGACTAAGGCTAAAGCGGGCCCTAGGCAACATTATAATTCCGGGCCTATTTTTCCGATAAAATATTTTTCAAATAAAAATTAAAAATTAATTNAATTGTTTTGAATTAAAAACTTAATTTTCGGGCTCCAAAAATTACGGACCCTAGGCACGGGCCTCAGTTGCCTAGGCCTTGGTCCGCCCCTGTCCCAGGTTGTTTCTCTTTAGAAAAATTAATGAATCTTCTAAAATGATCCTAACACGTTTAACTTTGTATTTCCAGGATCTCCTTCGCACACCAACATTCGCGAGGCTCCTCCACCCCTCGACAAACCGAACGAACCGCCGCCTTACCCACACATGTTACCCTCTTCAAACCCTCCAAGACAATGTTCGTGTTCGCCAGAACTGAAGAGCAGCTCGCAAACATCAACGGAAAACGCACAGACGACAGAAATGTTACAAAAACCGAGATCACCGTCGCCATCATTACCCGACGATCTCTCCATACCGAGAAAGATCCTTCCAAAAGATCCGATGGTACCGAGTCACAATGGTGGCGGTAGAATGGCAATGTTGTAAATGATAATGTTAATGTTAAAGGATAATTATGAACTAATTGTGTACATTCATACAATATATGTATGTAGGTGGTATCTAAAGGGTGTGCCTGCCGAAATTTTCTGTCCAAACAATTTCAAGATGATGACAAGTTACATTACGTTATATGTACCAAGTGGGGCTAAATTAAGGGAGTTGACTCATTGGAGCACAGCAGGGATTTATATGAAATTTCGTAAATAAGGATGCATTAATTTTTAACAGACTTGTGCAAATTTTGAAGATACCTGAGAGATAGTTTTGGAAATATTGGATAATTGGATATGAATATGGATGGATACTTTAGTATTGATTGATGTTAAATGATCTATTTTTTCTGTTGAAAATACATGAAAAGGATTTTTCTCAAAAGTGAAAACTATAAATTCAATCTCATTAAACTATAGAATATCAAATTGACGAAAGGAACGCAGTAAATTTTGGGATATTACAATGTCCCTTTTGACATTAAGTAACTATTCAATTTTTTCTAAACATACATTATGAATATAAATAAATCCTTATTTATAAAGTTCCTTAGAAAAATATACTACTAGCTACAAAGAAATCCCCTTGTTGTACCTTAACACGTCAGGCGAACAAATCATTCTGAAAACATTAGCATTGTATATCTAATATCAAAGTCACTTCTAGTTTCTATGCACATGCGCAGTCGAACATAACCTCAATTACTTCCAAGAATATCGACTTCTACTAGCCTGTCTACTACATCTTCACTAATTCTTTACTTATTATTATCAAATTATTTCGCAAAACAACACAAAACAAATTTTTGCTTGTTACAATCCCCAAAATTACCTTTACGAATTTAGTTATAGGTTATGTTCGGCGTGATGCGCATGCGCTTACCAAAATACTAACGCTGTATGGGTATCCATTGTTTTATAAAATGGATGACTTACGTCACGTCATCCATATTTCGATATTCGGAAGATATAGGAACATAAAAAAGAGAAAACATAATATGCGACTGTTGCAGTCTCTTAAGCCAACAAAGACGGCCTACTATGTTCATAATGATAAAAGTGTTTTTGGTAATTTATGCCCTCATTAGTTTGTGACTAGTGGTTCGTGATATGGTCATCTTAAGGCGCTGCTGTTGTGCAAATTAACAGCGAATGTGAAGACCTAGGATAAAGACGTTTTGTAAAGTAGCGAACGATAATTAATAATTGATTGTTAGTTAATGTGCATATACGCCACATTTTTTAATTTGTACCTACTTCCTTTTTTCGCACTGATAGGAACGTGACTTATGGAAAGAATTTCTGGATGCCCTGTACATCATGCTTTGTTAGAAAACAGCAGAAGTCTGCGATAGTTTCAGTTGTTTTAAAAACGTTTGTATAAGAAATGTCAAATCAAATCAGCGATGCAATAATAAAAAGTTGACTAGTTTGTAACACTTTAAAATCCTACAATATATGGCAGAATTAGGCACCACCTCTTCAAAATAATAGTTGAGTATCAGAATTTTACAATTTGTCCCATAAACTAGTATCAGATGGAGTAGTCAAGATTTGCCCGACGTTTCGCCAGCCGCTGTGCTTAATATCTTCAGGGAATGTAATGACCATGCGATCCATCGTTATGGTTGGGTTAAGACTCAGCAGCTAGCGAAACTGAAGGTAGGCGATCGTTTTGCCCAATTTTTGAAGCTTCTTTTGATGAGCACCTTCAATGGTTCAATTTGAATACTATTCAATTAAAGCTTTATTCTCACTGTAGGCAGTCAGTTAGTTGGTAAACGTCAGAGGGGTGTTATTAAGCCAAATAATTAAACTGATATTTAAACATTCTGAAGTGGGTACTCATCAAATTTTACTTCATCCTCTAACATTCCTCAGTTCTTATACAAAAAATTCCCTTTTAGTTTTCCTGACCGATAGACTTTTATATATCCATTGTTTTGATTTTCCTGCTTTTCTTGTATATCTTTTCTTCTCCCTCTGCTCATCTTCTTCTGTCCGCCCAGCAGTATTAATAGCTGGTGGAAAAAAGACACCCCAAATGTTCCTTTTCTTCAGTACTTATAGATCATGCCGATCCGAAGGGACTTGACCCTTGGCGAAGTTCTTGTACAAAACAAGAGTAGGTGGATCGGCTTGCAAAGTTTCGATGATTTAAGGAGCCGGACCATGGTTTCAACCATCAGGGGGGCTTTTTAAAGAGAAACCAGACTAAGACAAGTCCCTGAATGAGGGCAGCAGCTCTTTCAGTACTCAGGGTGGAAGAGATCACGAGGATCGGTATGGCACTCTGATGCACAATACTGCGATGCGGAAGGCAACGGGAAACCACCACATCATGATCCTGAGTAAAACATACAACTCTACAAATTAATGGCATCCTTTGGAGTAAAGTACTCCGAACGTAAACTAGTCCCCCATTCGGATTTCCGGGCGGGAACTACATCGAGGGATATCTTCAATAAGTGCAATAGGGGAAGGGTGCAATATTTCACGAGTCGGAACGTGGAATGTTAGGACATTTTAAGTATCTAGGAAGTCAGATAAGTCAAGACGGAAGGAGTGGCAGGGATATAAAACAGAGGATAGTGCAGGGTCGAATCGCCTTTAATAAAAGGAACTCATTTCTATGCTCGGGAGCGATTAACTTAGAAATTCAAAAGAGATTGTTAAAGGTGTATGTTTGGAGCACGGCGTTGTACGGGTGCGAAACATGGATAGTGGGAGCGGCGGAAAAGAAAAGGTCTGAAGCGTTCGAAATGTGGTGTTATAGGCGGATGATGAGGATATCGTGGGTAGAAAAGGTTAGAAATGAAGAGATATTAGAAAGAATAGGAGAACCGAAGACTGTATGGAATAAGAAACAAGCGAGATAGTTTGGTAGGACACCTTCTCAGGTATGAAGGTCTAATCAGAGACATATTAGAGGCAGAAACAGGAGTTAGGAGGGGTAGAGGTAGACCTAGACTAGATTACCATTCGCAAATAGTTATGGATAAAGGTTTTTCTAGTTTTGGAAACATGCGAAGATTAGCGCAGGATAGAAAGGTCGAATTGGTACCTACGCAAAACCAATACTGTATTAATTTTTATGTACCCAACTATTATAGATTTATCGCATTTTATGGTTGGTTACAGGTTAAGTGTATATAACTACTCCTTTCTTATAGAGTTCGTTGTTCGTCAGGTTTGTGGTTTATTAAACTGAGGTACAATTTCAACATATAATACGTATAAATCAATGAATAACAAAGATATATGGCTTATTTAAAATCGTTTCCAAAAAACCAATAACCGGTCAATAACATAATGTTGATGCCGAATGCATGTCATTTGTTCAGTTGGTTCCTTAATTTTATTTGCAAATCAAGGTTACCGAAGGTTAAACATCGCCAAACATGTATGAGTAACTTTATGTGGAAATTATAAGTACACACTACACACATTAGAATGACACTTGTTGACTTCATCACTTTCGAAATCTAAAGGAATAATTATGTGGGTAGGACAATAACGTACGAAAGTGGAATATATTACCTATATACCAGCTGACATGCTTACCCATATTGGTAACGATATTACTAAATTCATTTCCACTTGTAACCTTATCATTCAAAACAAAAGCATTCTTCTATTAATACATTAAATAAAAAAAAAGGTATTGGTAAAAATTTAACAACCATAAAAAGCAATAGTGCCAGCCGAGGATAGAAACCTGGACTGTTTGTATGTCTGCCCAGCGTTCATACCACTGCTCTATTGACGATTATTGAAAACAATTGTTTCATAAAGCGGGGTGGTCGCATTGCTATGTTGAGTTAACGCGCAGTACATTTATTAGTAGCCAGTGCTGGTGTCGCGTATATTTTCAGAATTCATGGTAACGTGTTATCGTACACATGGCGTATTGGAATCCGTCAAATGAGAGGAGCCTAAAAACATGGCGCCGATTAGGGAAAATTTATCGTAGTTCCTATAGTGTACCGTGCAATTTCCAAGTTTTTAAATTACGATAAAATGATAACTATTGACACAATATGTGATTGGGCTGACACAAAGCCTCGGAAAGGAAATTTCGTTGAAGGTGAGCGTGTTTTTAATGCCAATCACATTATAAAATTCGGAAATAACAAATCCGGAAGCTAGCCTTCAAATTCCGTCAAGTTTACTGCCTACTTTTTACAAACTTCGGATTTAAAAAGTGATTCACGTTATATAATTGGTGAGGTGATTCTGGGTGATTTAAGCAATATCATATCAATGACTTGCACGTGCAAAGCCGATTTAAGAGAACGTTGCAAACACATTATTGCAACTTTGTTGTATTGCAGCAGGTAGGTTCTTAACCTCAAAATACTTATATCGTATCATTAGAATTGTGTTAAATCAATTACACAGGAATAAATAATTTCTCACTTTATAATTTTAGTATGATTCTAGTTTTAAATATTAAGGTTATGGCTGATGGTAAATACTTGCTGAAATATAATCATGTGCATTAAAATGACGTGAACAAATTTTTATTCCGGAATTCACTTCTTTGATACCTACTGCTTTCATCCAAGCTTCTATTAGTTTACTTTTTTCTCTAATTTTCCGAATATATTTTTTACATATATAAAACGGTTAGTTTTTATTGGAAAGTAGTTAATGTAGGTGAAGAGTGAAGATCTATGTCTGAAGTGCTATTGCAGCTTTTCACTGAACATATTAACTTTTTATTTGATTTAACTTTAGAAGAAAACTTCGTCGACTCCATCATCAAAAAAATTTTTACTTTTTTAACGTGTTTTATTATTTTAATAAACAATTTTACAAGTTGGGTGCACAGTTCCTATGTAAATTTTTCCCTTATTCGAGTTATAAATTTTGCCACCAGATGGTGAATGCCCATTTGACGGATCCCAATACTTAGGTACTAATTTTGCGTAAGGTTATGTGAGAATCAAACTAAAAGGGGGGTTAAAAGTTGTACTTTTTATAAAATAACATTTGACCATATAGTTATCGTGCTTTCTTAAGGGTAATTTTTTAAACCTTTATGTCTGCTTCAATTGAGCTAATAAAAAGTAACTGCTTCAATGTGCTCACTACAAACGAAGTCAACGAATTTATTACGAAATATCGGATACAAAACTCGGCTTTCAGTCTGCCTTGTTTTTTTAAGCATTTCTTGATTACCTACTGTTTACTTGTTCTGTATTCCATTTTTTAAAGGACCATTATCTGTATCTAGGATTGTATTTGAACGTATGGCGTCCAAACAAAGATACTCGTATTTCTATTAGCTGTTACCTATTGCATCCTTTTCTCCATTGAACTATACCTTCATACGTAAGTTATCGCTGCAGAGCGATCTGTTTGTTGAATCAGGAGAGTCATTGAATGCTGCTGATTTATAATGCCTTTCCCAAGGCGGCATAGACAC